CACGGCACCGCTATGCGACAAGTTTTCCATTTCTGCTAACAGCAAACCATAAAGTTCATCTACCTTTGCTGAAGACGGATTTATGTCTACTCGAAGCGTTGACCGCGCAAGCTGAATCCGAAAAGCGGCTTCCGCGTGCACCTCAAGAGGCTTCTTGCACACTAGGGTTAAGGCTCTTATCAGGATAATCGGGTCAGGCGGCGTTCCGCCTACACTCCTCACCCTGAGCAGCCATCTGTGCCACTTTCGGAGGGCCTTTGCCGCTGAAGCTGCATCGGCGGCTTCACTCGGTGATTCAAGGCATTTCAAGGCAGTTGCTCTTTCAAGCAACGAACCCGGTTGATAAATCACCATGACACGACACCATATCGCAAGAATCCCTGTCAATCTTCCTGCTACGCATTCTTCTCTAACGGTTTTAGGAAGTGCAGCCAACACCAATGTTTCTGCTCGCTTCTCTACCCGCTTCCACCTTTGCTGCTTCAACACCTCGTTCGGTTGAGGCTTGTGGCTCAAACGCGCTACAGGATCAAGCTTAAGGAATTCAGAGTAGTAGCTTTCTGCTGATAAGAGAATGTTCTCCCACCATTCAGCACTGTTATCCGATATGTCTTGCATCGCTGGGCTAATCGTGTATACCCAATCCTGGAAGTCAACCGGGGCCTCAGGGCCTGGCTCAACAAGGGTAGGCAAACTGGTTATGCCTGGCTTTACGTTTTCACTTTTCGGACTTTCAGACGATCTCATAGAAACCTCTTGCAATTGGCGCATGCCAGCAATCAGCAACTCTAAAGAATTACTTCCCAAGCTGTCACCTCCGGTTGCCCTTTCACCTGACCGCTCGATTGGCAAGGTTGCTGGGCTCGGCGCAATGGGAGCAGCTGGACAAGTCGCCCGTCCGCTTTGGTCAGAGTCTCCGGCACCCTGCTGCGCGGCATACGCTTGCCAACCACTGGGGTCACTGGGGCCTAAACCACTAGGGTACCCGTAGGGGTTTGGGTTTGATGCCGGCTGCTCCTGCACTCGAGGCGCGGAAGCATTAGGGATACCCGAAAGGACTAAACCACTAGGGCAACCGCTAGGGTTGGGGTTTGCCGCAGGCTGCTCTGCAACCAGAGGCACAGGAGCACTAGGGACACCCAAAGGGACTAAACCGCTAGGGTAACCACTAGGGTTGGGGTTTGCCACAGGCTGCTCTGACGCCAGAGGCACCGGAGCACTAGGGACACCCAAAGGGACTAAACCGCTAGGGTAACCACTAGGGTTGGGGTAGTGCGACGGCGGCGCAGCTGGCATAGATTGCCACACGCTAGGGGCACCCAGGACTAAACCACTAGGGTAACCGCTAGGGGGGCTGGCATTGGAAAGCGGCAGACCATCTGCCACGGACCCATAGCCCGGATTTCGAAGATTCGGATGCGGAGGCAAAGGAGGAGGTAAAGCCGGCGATTGAGAATGAGGTGGTGGATGAGGTGGTGGAGCTGGAGAGCTCCTTGAGGCATTTGGCCAGAAGCCGCGTGAGCCCGGGAGCCAACCACCTAAGAACCCACCTAATCCATTCGCGTTGACCTTCGGAGGAGCTGCAGGGGCTACACTACCTACATTTTCCTCTCTAAGTCTACGGTTTTCTTCCTCCAATTCTCTAAGCCTTCGATTCCTAACCTCAAGCTCCCTCTCAACCTGCCTACGAACCTCAGCCTGAATGACTTCCATACTTAGAGACGCGGAGGAAGGCGGGGAAGCTACTTGTCCTACCGGACCAGCTACATGTTGATACAGTTGAGGCGCCTGCTCTTCGAGCTGGGCAAATCTACGCATCTGCTCAGGAGAGAAAAGCGACTTCGGTGTCACCGGAGTCTGGTACTCAGTTTGAGCGGTCTGTGAAGAGGGCTGAGTCACCAAAACTTCTTGTCCTCCTACATCCGCAATTTTCTGTAGCATCCACTGAACTCCTTGAGCAAAGAAGCCCTGACCCCCAACCGTAACCATCATAGAAGGTGCTTTTGGTCCTCCTTCCAAGTGCAGTTGAGCTCCTAGCTGCGGCTGCGCCTCGTTCTGTTGAAGAACCTGTGTTGTCAGAGTCTGAGCTTCATGAACTCGTTGATCTTGAAGTCCATCCACGGGCGGGCTCGCGGAAGAAGCCGCTCCAACTACATCAGTTCTCATCATGGGAGGTGGTACAGCGGACGCCGCCAAGGCGCTCGATGTGCCACCTTGCCCTCCAGCTTGGGTGCTCTGGCCCATTGAAGCTTCCGAAGCTCCAGTAGAACCATATCCCATCACCTGACCAGATGGAGGAGGTGGAGGCGTAGGAGCCTTTACTCCTCCCGCGACACTGCCAGCTGGGGCTTGCCCTGCTACCAAAGCAGGGTTCTCCATTGTAGCAGAGTGTTGCGGCTGCCTAATTTCTCCATCTAGATCCAGCTGCTGAAGAGGCGTTGTCCCATTGACCAATGCAGAGCTCGGCAGCGTCCCGTAACCTTGGGCGCTCATAACCTGATGATCTGGAAGATCGTGCATGTTGGGATTTGCACCGTCCATCTCAGCTCAAGCTTCGTTCCAAATTTATCGGATGATCCCGGAAGAGGAATCCAGACAACTGAAACTGACCATGGCGCTCGAACGGAATGTTTTCTCACTTCACTCGACAAAGCTCTGAAAGTATGTTGAGAGGCTACGCCCTTCTATGCCTGTGATGGCTGTTCGGCCTTTGGCCAAGTTCACGACTCTAAAGTCTTCTAGCATAGGGGCCTTGCACTCTCTCACTTGAAGAACCACAAGGGCTACGACAAGTCACTTCAAACGACGGAAACTACTCGGGAGGTGAGGGCAGACTCAGGCTTCAACATACTACTACTACTACTACTACTACGACTACAACAACTACTACTACTACTACTACTACTACTACTACTACTACTACTACTACTACTACTAGTCCTACTACTACCACTACTGCTACTACTGCTACCACCACTACTACTACTACTACTACTACTACTACTACTACTACTACTACTACTACTACTACTACTACTAGCCTACTACTACTAGCCTACTACTACTACTACTACTACTACTACTACTACTACTACTACTACTACTACTACTACTACTGCTACTCGTACTCTTATCTCCTACTGCTGCTACTTCTACTGCTACGACTACGAATACGTGGATCTCGACGAGTACTACTCATGTAGTAGTACGAATGATGCGCCCACTGCTGCTACTGTTTTGACAGCTGCTGCTGCTCCGATGGCAACGACGAAGTTCAGCGGTGCGCTGCGACATCTTGTTTCACGTATGTGACTTCGCGTGCACTGCTGCTACAACCACCATGGCCACGAACACCACCGCAACACATGATAGCGGCAAACCCAGGCCACTCAGTCGACAACATCTACCAGTTTTGTTGTTGTTTCAGTGATGCCAACCTTTTTAGGTTACGTGAGACAGGCCAACTCGGCTGGGACTTGTTCGTGGCATGGCTCCAGCGCAACTACATGTCCTAATCCGCTTTTGCAGCTTCATATCCGGACTTTAGATCCCGAGTGACGTATGGATACTGGCGCCCTTGAAGCCTTCGTGTCAAGACATTACATGGCTTTGTGTGTGTTTTGTTTTATTGTTAGGTTATTATCGATTTGTGTTTGTTTGCCTTCGCGTGATTTTGTCTTAATGTATTGTACATGCTTTAATGTGACTTAGTTGTTGTTTTGCTGTTTGTGTGTGGGTGTGTTTCTTTCGTCGGGACCCCAGAGAAAAAAAACATACACAAGTCGCAGCCAAAGCCCGCAACCCTGATCGGCTCAGCCCCACCCACACCCCAAAACTCCGAAAGGTGGCAATCTTGGGACTCTAGATCCTCCGGGTCGAGATCCGGAGGGTCTGTATCCTTCCTCAGAGTCTCCTAGGCCTTCTAGGCATGCATTCTTCGTGCGCGCATGTTTCTCCATCTCGGCCGGGTTCGACCAATCATTGAACCAAGGGCACAGCCGAGTGCAACAGTAAAGATGTCTGTTGCAAAATGGCGAATTGTCATCACGATGCCCAGGAGGAAGCTAGGGGAGAACCCCCGCTGCGCCTCCATGTATTTTTGTTTTGGGAGGTCATCATTTAGTTCTTGCATGTTCTTGTCATACAGTGCATAACCTATCTTCTGTTTTTCGTTGGATTTGACATAGAAGGTTTATGGATTTACGTTGTTATATATATCCTTATGGTGTGCTTTTTGGATCGATTACTGGCATTTGTTATTGTACTGTTGTTTCTAGTTGTTTTGATGTGTCGGAATAAAGCTCATGATGATGCAAAGTTTCAACCATGTGGATGTGAGGCTGCAAAAAAGCCCAATGAATTTGCCAAGTCCACGCACTCCGTTGACAACGGAACCCTTGAAGGTGCAGTGCAAGGCCCGGGCTTGAACTTGCAAAGTCAACGCACGGTCTCACTCTCAATGATGAAGCACGCCTCTTGACTTATAAATGTGTCTACATAGTCGGAGATTACCAATGTCAACGTCAGTACCAATCCAAATCCCGAGCCTAGAATGTTCGGCCGCTCTGGCGCCCGATCAACGTCGCTCTTCGACAATACCCACGCAGCAAGGCCAGAAAAAGATTCTCGTGCCCAGGGCTCCACCAAAATCTGGCGGAGGGTCTGGTGACTTGCTTATTATTGTGAACCTCGGTTGAGCTTCCCGCTGGCTTCAGAGAGTTTTCAGCTTGACAATTTTTTGCATGGCTGATCATGCTGTGCTGCAAACCTTCAATCTCAATTTGCAGCTTCAAAGGCTCCGACAGTGCACGAGGCAGCCATGTGTTATAACGATTGAACCAGCTAGAAGAGTCGTGCCTCCAGGCCCCCCCATAATCATGCAGCATACCATTCCAGAGTATCGTGTTCTGTTTCCTCCACCAACCCTGGCACATCGGACTCTCAACGCGCCGTGTCCTCCTGAACCACGTAAAGCACCTTTGCAGAGTTACCTCGGGCAGGAAAAGAGTGCCTACATCCGAAACATCTCTCGCTGGCGTCAAGGACTGATCACGTGAATTTGGGCTCCACGTTTGGGGCTTTATGTTCTATGCAGCTCCGAAAGATAGTACCACCGAGTTGGAGAGGTTCAGCAGATCTTCTGGCTTGACGTTCAGGCTAGCGAGTCCTCGAAAGACCTTGATACAGTAGGTCGAAACCATTGTGAAAGCAAAAAGGTCTCAACCTTGAAGGGAAGGCACTGCGCCGTGGCGTTGGTAACGCACCCTTGAGCTACCATGAGCTGCACTCAAGGGAAGCTCCGCTAACAGGCCTTTGCTTCCAGTGCGGATTTCACTATGCTGAGTGCAAGCATCAACCCCGCAAGCTCATGAACACAAGGAAAACCATGATCGTAGTGGTCGCGACAACGCAGTATATGTATATATGTGTATGTGGTAGTTGATCTAAAGCTCCTTCAGCGATAACTTATATGAAAGGCCAACTGCATAGCTAAATATGCCTTCGCGGAAGTTTCGCGATGGTGCCGCTAGAGTTATGCATTTGTTGCGAAAGTTATCTGTTTAGCCTACTTGCCGTACCATGCCGTACCATTACCGTTACTGTTACGATTACTAGCACTATGAGTATGACTATCACTATTTCTACTAAGTACTACTGCTGTTATTGCTATTACCACTGTTGAAAGTAATATTGTCATCATTGTTACGATGACCACTATGATTTTACTATGATAAGTATGATTACTGTGATTACTAAACTAGTCGAATGCGTTTTCTTTTTCTTGACTATTATTGTTTCTACTGCTATTGCTATTGTTACTGCTGTTGCCATTATTACCATTACGACTACTAATAGTATTAGTAGTAGTATTAGCACACCAGCACCACCACCACCACCACCACCACCACCACCACCACCACCACCACCACCACCACCACCACCACCACCACCACCACCACCACCACCACTTCTCATGCTCTTGCCACTGGAACTGCCACTGCTGTTACTACCCCCGCAGCTGCTACTACTACTACTACTACTACTGCTCCTACTGCTACTGCAGCTACTGCTACTGCAGCTACTGCTACTGCAGCTACTGCTACTGTTACTGTCGTGACCACTTACTACCACTGCCCGCCATCCCACCGCCGACGGGTACTACCTCCCACCTCTTTGGCGTCCTACCTACGATTGCTACTGCTCCACTTCACGCTATGTGCAGTGCCTTGTAGCGCCGTCGATCCTAAGTGTAAGCAACGACAAACCCAAAAATTTGTTCCCCTACGGGGTTTAGCGCGTAAGCTTCGAGTAAGAGATGTCAGACTCGACGCAGCCCGATCAAGGCCAGCCCCCAATGGACACTGTTTGCATTTCGCGGTTGGCTGCCGCAAGGGGCTCCTCTTCGGAAGGCTTCCAGAAACCCTCAATCAGTTTTGCCCCGCAGAAGCTTTGCTCAAGAAACTTGGTCACGCATCTAAACCCTGAGGCACCAACACGGCTTCGTTCAATATCCAACCCTTCAGACGGCCTTAGCCAGCCCTTTCCAACTATTGCAGACTTCACGCAAATCTGAAACCCCTAAGAAGCCTGCCGCAAGCTCTTCAGCATAATGCCCGTAAACTCGTGGCGTCGAGAAGCTTGTAGCCTGTAGTTCAGAGTTCTAACATGTTCTAACTTGAGAAGGTATGTAGATATGCCTCCGCGAAAGTTCCGCGATGATGTTGCGAAAGTTATGTATGATCTTGCGAAGAAGGTCTTTCCGGGATCAAGCAATTTAGATCAACAGCCATGTATGTATATGTATGTATGTATGTATATGTATGTATGTATATGTATGTATGTATGTATGTATGTGCATATATATATATATTCTGCATACGTAGGCTTCTGTGCCTATGCGTATATGCATGTACATGTATATATCTGTTTAAGTAGCCATGTGTTTGCATGTGTGTATATCCATATGTAGGTATTTATGCAAATATGTATGTCATGTCACAATCTGTAGTTCTGTGTAAATGTCTGTGTGTATACATATATAATATTTATGTGTTTATGTATTAGTATATATACATATATGTATGTATTCATTTATTCCCCACCCTCGGTGTGGGGTTGTTAGATTTTAATGTCAGCTATACTCCTCGCCCGCTGAGATTACCTCCTGGAGTACCCAACCCCGCAGACTACCGTGAGAATACCGTGAGAATCCCTGGAGTGCCCAACCCCACAGACTACCGTGAGAATCGCTGGAGTGCCCAACCCCACGGACTACCGTGAGAATCCCTGGAGTGCCCAACCCCACAGACTACCGCGAGAATCCCTGGAGTGCCCAACCCCACAGACTACCGTGAGAATCCCTGGGGTGCCCAACCCCACAGACTACCGTGAGAATCCTTGGAGTGCCCAACCCCACAGACTACCGTGAGAATCCATGGAGTGCGAGAATCCCTGGAGTGCCCAACCCCACAGACTACCGTGAGAATCCCTGGACTGCCCAACCCCACAGACTACCGTGAGAATCCCTGGAGTGCCCAACCCCACAGACTACCGTGACAATCCCTGGAGTGCCCAACCCCACAGACTACCGTGAGATTCCCTGGAGTGCCCAGTCCCAACTTTGGAATCTGCCGGGGCCTCGCAGCCTCGAGGCTGAATTCATAATGCATCGAACTCGTTTGTCACAAGCAGATTCCACACGTACTCTTCTGTCATGTGTTGTACAACATCTTGTGCTATACAAACACACTTGCTCCACACCTAAACCCCATCACAACGCGTGTGCCAATCTTGCTGTGTTGGCCGCAACGTGGCGGCCCGCGGGAGTGCTTGGGAATACCAGGGTTTTCGGCTGCAGCGTGGCGGCCCGCGGGAGTGCTCGGGAACACCAGGGCTTAAGGTTTAGGCTCGGGTTTTTTAGGTCTTAGGATTTGCGTGTAGGAAGGACAAGGCGCTAGGGTGGGGATGTTCGAAGTAAAACAATTTATATGTACTTGTTCATGTAGGTATGTATACATGGTAGTTGACCGAAAGGTCCTGGAACCGAGGTTCATATGGAAGGCCGACTCCATAGCTAAATATGTCTCGCGAAAGTTCCGCGAGGGTGCTGCGAAACATAGATTGTTTCAGGCGAAAGTTATGTGTTTAGCCGACTTGCCGTAATACTAGTACTAACTTCGACGACTACTGCTTCTGCTTCTGCTCCAGTGCCGGGTCCTGCTCCTGTTCCTGCTCCTGTTGCCGCTGCTGCATCCGGGTCCTGCACAGGGTCTAGCACGTAAGTTGCGCGTAAGTGCCGTTAAAGTCGACGTCGCCAGGTCAAAGCTCAGAAACTTAACTCTTAAGACGGCTTCGCTAAAAACCTAACCGTTAAGACGGCCTTACCCATCCAGCCAGTTCCAACTATTGTAGCTTTCACGCAGCCCTGAAACGTGTAGGAAGCCTCCCGGAGGCTTTTGATTGCGCCCGTAATGCTTGCCGTCGAGAAGCTTTGAGGAAGCTTTGCACAAGCCGTCAAGTCAAGACAACCTCCAGAAGCCTTTGCAGAACTTTGAGAAGCTCATGCTTCAAGAAAATCGTAGTAGGAGACGATTGAAAAGCCTTTATGGGGTTTGTACGAAGTTCCAAGAGGCCGCTCAGACGGCCGTAGCAGGCCACTAACCGAAAAGGCCTTCTTCATTTCGGCCTTATAACTGGGCTTAAAACTTGCAAAGGCATGTAAATATGCCTCCGCAAAAGTTCCGCGATGGTGCTGCGGTTTTGTATGCAAAGAGGGTCCTTCCGGGATGATGAAGTTTTGAACAACACCCTTATATGTATATATATATATACACACACACTAACATACATAGATTTTGCGTATATGATGGTGCTGACGATGGTGATGATGATGACAAGGATGGCGATGACGAAGAAAACAATGATCATCACGAAAATGATCTTGATCACGATGATAGTGCGGATGGTGATGATGACGATGATGATGATGGTGATGCTGATGGTGATAAGGATGACGACGACGAAGATGAGAATCCTGATGCTTCATTCGTAGTTGTAGTAGTTTCTGTCCTTGTCGTTGTTGCTGTCGTCGTCGCTGCGGTTGTGTGAGTTGCTGCTGTTCGCATGATGATGTTCTGAACATTTGCATCCTCCGTAGCCTCCACATCTTCCTCGTTTACTTTTCCTCTTCCACCTCCGCCCTCTGATCCTGGGAGTTGGCTGCATGTTGCCCTGTCGCCAAGCATTGCTGATGTTGTGCAAGTCAACCAATATGTGCGGCCAGTAATTCTGGGGTTTGTGGTTGTGTGCTCAGTCATTTACAATGCTGTGAGCCCTCAAGCGGTTCTTTTGAGAGTTTCGCTGTTCGGCAGCACGTGGTCAGGAACCACCTACAAGGGTTTTTGCCGACAACAATCCCACTCATCAGCAGGCGCGTGCGGTTAGTAGGTCGGACCAACGCTCACAGCAGATCGGCTCAATTCAGGCCCAAAGGCCAAAGTTGGAAAGCGCAAGCAAGAGGCCTCGGGCATCTTCGGAAGTCCGAAAGAAACTGTGTTGCACATTAAGTTCCTCAAGCCCATGCAGCAGGACCCACGCCGGCAAGTGAAGCGTGAAGCCGGGACCTTGGCACCCGGTCACTGTTGCAGTCCGCTTACCAGGCGCAGGTAAAACGCAAAATTGAAGACGCAGCTTAACAAACTCGCCAAAACTATGAGTACTCATATCGCTGACGCCGTGATCAGATACAGGAAGACGTACTGTGATGTAAGGAGTTGCAGATAGCCAGGATGTTATTCGGGAGCTTTGTAAGAACATGCCAGCAAGTGCGAGTGTCTCACGTGCATGTGAACACAGGACGATTTGGGCGTACGTTTGTCTATGACCTATGTTCTGAAATCGGCATAAACCTCGAGTTTCTGCTGTTCTGTTATCTTGCACATGCGCTTTTACGGCTGCAGCAGCCAGGACGTGTCTTGGAATCTTCCACATCAAGCTGATTAGGTTTATGTCTATTGCGCTTTTAATTGTACTCTAGTAATGACATCACAGCTCGTTTAGCTCGACCAGACACGGCGGCTAACATCACAGCTCGTCTAGCTCGACCAGCGACAGCGACAGCAGCTGCAAAAGCATCGGTATCCCGAATGAGAGATGATGAATGAATACTCACAAGTGGATATGGTTGCAAGGTTGAAAGAGCTGATGCTAGCGGTACTCGAATGAGATCGAGAGTTTGTGCGGCATGAGCGAACGAGGTAGGGGCACCACTCAGAGATAGCTCAAGTAACCCGAAACACAAACAAACGCAGCGGCTCACATAATAACATACCTAAATGCATATCCATATAACTCCTTACGCACGCGCAAACTTACATACCTACCCACCTACATACATACGCAGATGTGTGCCTTCATGCGTGCGAGAATGTTAATGCATGTGTGTATGTATGTATGTATGTGTGTATATATGTATGTATGTATGTATGTATGTATGTATGTATGTAGTTGTACATATGTCATATGCAAACAAATAAAGAACACATATGTATATATATATATATATATATATATATATAGAATCCCTTCCCCCTAATATGAAAGGGCCTCCCTCCCCCTCCTCCAATATGGAAACTGGATTTCGCGGCGGGAGTTTGTGTATGAGAGGGAATTCGGGGCATCCACATTATACGAGTCGGATTGAGAGTAAAAATGAGCCAGCGCAAAGACCGCTCATCACGCAGCCGTTCCGGCTGTAGAGCAGACAGCCCCGCTTTAAACCCTAAAGCCTTATATTAAACCCTAAAGCCCCAAAGCCGAAAGCCCTAAAGCCCTAAGCCCTGCAAAGCCCTAAGCCCTAAAAACACCTAAATCCCAAAATCCTGGTCGTTTCGGTTTAGTACTACTGTAGTCTTGGCTCTATTAGAACTAATGCAATCCTGGGCCCCCCCTAATGTTTGTAATTAACTCTCAATTGTGGGCCCGAAACCGCGAAATTCCGGAGACCGGTAGTTTTCATATCGGGGGGGATTAATATTAGGGGGAAGCGATCCTCTATATATATATATATATATATATATGTTTGTTTTTTGTTGCTCCCCCCCTCCCCCCAAGATCTACGCTTTCGCGGTTCTTGGGGCATGGGGCGCACGAAACCCTATAATGCTCAAAACATTCCAAAATTTCTAACCTCAGAACTCACGAAATGCTGTAATGCTCAAAAACTCCAATATTCTGGCATCCATGGCCAGGCCAGGGGGCAGATTCCTGAAAATTTTGGATTTGTTTTAGCATTCCAGTGTTTCGTGAGCTTTTTGAGGCAGTGAACAGTTGGTTTCAGTTCGAGCATTCGAGTGTTTTGTGAGGTTCAAGCCACGAAACACTGCTATGCTCAAGTTTTGCCAGCTTTGAGGCTGTGAAAAGCTTGGTTTTTGGAGCATTACAGTGTTTTGTGATGTTCAGGCCACGAAACAGTGTAATGCTCACAAAAATTCAACTTTTTCAAGCCCTGAAACGCGCTGTAATGTTCAAAAAATCCAAATTTTTAAGGAATCCGCCACCGGCCTGGCCATAGATGCCAGAATTTTGGATTTCGGGATTTGTTGAGCATTACAGTGTTTCGTGAGTTTCTGGGTTGGAAATCTATTGAAGTTTCTGAGCATTACAGTGTTTTGTAAGGTTTAGGCTACGGAACACGGCTATGCTCAAGTTTTGTGAGGATTGAAAACTTGGTTTTTTTGAGCATTGCAGTGTTTTGTGAGGTTCAAGCCACGAAACACTGCTATGCTAAAGTTTTGTGAGCTTTGAGGCTTTGAAAAGTTGGTTTGTTTTGAGCATTACAGTGGTTTGTGATGTTCAGGCCACGAAGCACGGTAATGCTCACAAAGATTCAACTTTTTCAAGCCCTGAAACGCGCTGTAATGTTCAAAAATTCCAAAATTTTAAGGAATCTGGCCCTGGCCTGGCCATAGATGCCAGAATTTTGGAATTTTAGAAATTTTGGAGCATTACAGTGTTTCGTGAGTGTCAGGGTTGGAAATTTTGGAATGTTTTGCGCATTACAGTGTTTCCTGATGTCCAGGACAGGATACACTGTATCACAAGAGAACTGTTTGCACTCAACCGCAACCGTTGTCAAGGAAGGGAATTACTATTGTATGTGTCTTCTGGAACAGCAAAGGTTTGGATTATTCTTGTCTGATAAGTACGAACAAGGCCTGCCTAGTCGTTACAAAGTTTATTTCACGCATGTTTTCGGAGGTTCGTAGATCTATGGCACCAGCAGCACTGCTTCTAGTATTTGATTTTTTGGAACATATTTTTGGCCCTTCTTCTTCAAGCTGCACAGCCTACAGATCCAGCACTGCAATAATGAATGCAGCTTAGGTGCTAGAGAAGCGCAAGCCTATCTAGAATTTATTTCATTTCTTATTGAAGACTGTAGGAAGCTGTTTGCATTTTGCTATCATCAGGAACAATGGGAACTTCCTATGCGGTTTCCTATGAGACATGAGTCTTCATTCAGTTTACCTCTTATTGATGCTGTCCTATAATTGTACCCCGAAGAAGATACCAATCGCTATGTCCATGGCTGTGTCTCCAATCGCTGCCATAGAGCGTAACGCGTAAGATAGTTCTCTTCAAACTTCAAGCGACACTCCCTAGGCGTGATCAGGAGACAAAGACAAGCTTGTTTACTGGTAACTTCTACTAAACGGGCAAGAGATGTGAGACTTCTATCGGTTTCTATTGAAGCCCCCTCCCTCATATCCTGACAATGCGATGCCGGTCCTTCTATTTATGAGTGTGGCTTAGATTCTAAAGTTTAGATGCTGTCATAGTTCGTATATCACAACATGAACATGCACTCTCTTCAAAAACTAAAGGTGCCGTCGTATATCTTTCTTCTGGATTAGCAGGAGTCTTTATGTCTCTTGCTTGATAGGTATGAGGATGGCCCCAATTACTATCTTCAAATATAGATAGCGATTGCTGTGCACACTGCTGCTCTTAATCTTTGTCATAGATCGTGTCACAATGTAGAAAAGGAATTTTCTGCCATGAAGTGCCACGTTGCTCTGTTTTACAAGATTAAAAACCCCTGCCTTCTGATTGATACGTATCAATGCAGCCAGTCGTAATTAGTCCTGCTTCGTGTTTGGAAGGTTGCAAGAGCTCTCTTACTTCTGGCTGCCGAGGAGCCTTCTTGTGGGCCCGCAAAGGCACATGAACTTTTCAACTCCAGGGAAGCTTTCCCATTTCTTATGAGGCAAAGAACAACTATTGGAGTAGGGCTTCAAAAAAACTCGCTCGTATATTCGACTTCCTTCTTGTATAATGGACGGGACATGAAAGGAGCTCTTTAGTTTTGTAACTCATAAATCAAATGCTAGAGCTATTAGGCCGCATCAGAATCGGACGCTTCACGCGCAGCAAGAAAGAGATGTCCCTCGCACACAGACCTTTTCGTAAGAGAGAATATAGCATATTCATTATTAGAGGAACGTTGTTCATAAACACACCATGAAACACTGTAAAACGCAAAAAACACGAGGTGTTTAGTACTGCATGAAGAAAAACAGCAAGCCCTCCAGTATTTCGGTTTATCCAACACATAAACTATCAGAATTCTGCGGCCGAGATTCGGCGCCAGATTTACACACATATCAAACCCGCGACTTGTAGCAGCACGGTTTCCATCCACATGGTGAAAAGCACGATTGTATGGCTATTCACAGTGTTTTCGGCATATATGAGTACTGGACCAATGTAGAGAAGCAACCTGTGAAGCGTGTGGAAGAGGTGGGTGTAGATCCTGGGGGGGACCATATACTTCATATGTCTATGGGCTGCGTAGTATCCCCCCCTGCATTTCTGCATTGCTGTACTATTGTGGAACCAGCAACTGGTTTTGAAACCCACCGAAAGCTCAAACCCTTGACATCCGCAGCATATAAGCAATCGCGAATTCACATGGTTTTGAGTCCAACTCGAAGCCAACACAGCATATGCAGCATCTAAGTCTCTATGGATGATTATGGATGTTTCTCATCCTGTTCATTCCAGCGCGTACCATCACCCTACAAGTGCTACGATTTCGTTTCGTTCCTCACCAGCTCTGCAAAACTTGTTTGAAGACTAACCCGGGAAGTTGCAACAACCCATGCTTTCAGAATGCTGAAACCCGCACAATGCTAAGAATTGTATGACACCCTCGTCGAAACCCTGTTACAACATGCTAAAAATCCTTGCCTTGAAACCGTCGATACATCTTCGAATTGCATCTTTGTGTGACTGTCTCTAAACCGGTGTATTTCAGGTGTTCCAACAAACGCGCTTTAGTCATTAGTCTGGTTCAGTCATTCCTTATACCGAAGTCAGTTTTGGAACTAAAAGTTTTCCATCTTTTTACTGTAGTGCCGGAATCCCATTAAAATCTCCGTTTCTGGACGCATTGCTATGACGTTTTGGCAAACATATAGGTTTCCATAACATGTCCCTGGTGTTTCCGGTAGGTATATTTGGGTGTTGCATTCTTTAATTCTGTATAATGGCTGCCCCAAGCCAAAATTGTAAACTTGCATACTACAACCTGAGCAAACGCTGTATAGTGTTG